GCAGTGCAAGGACCTATTTTGTATTTGGCTCCGCGGCTGCAAGTGGCAGTGCAAGGACCTATTTTGTATTTGGCTCCATGGCTGCAGTAGCAGTGCAAGGACCTATTTTCCACAGCTGCAGTGCAAGGTCCTATTTTGTATTTGGCTCTGAGTGGCAGTGCAAAGACCTATTTTGTATTTGGCTACACAGCTGCAAGTGGCAGTGCAAGGACCATAATAAGAACAAACCCTCACTTGTAGTGACATGATTATTTTACCGATTCTCTTTACGGCTATAAGAATGATTAGCATTTCTTGCTATATAGAAGGCATTTTGGCCCATGAATTGTGTGGGTCATCCCTTTACCTGTGGAACATACAGAGCGGTATTGGTGACAATTTTGTGTATCATGCGATAAATGTTTACTCCATATTTGGAGTATTGATAATATATATTAGAGCCGCCGAGGGTAGCAAGCCCTTATCCCATATGTTTTTCAGATTTGTTGTTAAATAAAGTTATGCATTGTGTTTTGAATAAAGTCATCTGACTGAGCAATAATAATGTTTTGAAATAAAACTTGATTGTTGAGTAAAACATAAAAATGTTTTATTTTATTCATTAATAAATAATAACAATGTTTCGCGATTATAAATTTTAGTAATTCATATGAAATATTTTGATACTGTGCGTTAAATAAATATGCGTACTTCGTTCACATGAAAATATGCTCAAAGAATGTGTCAAATGTTTTATTTAAAGAAAAAAAAAAAAAGAAAATATAAAAAATAAAATCTATATAAAACCAATAAAAATAAAATTAAAAATTTCATTTTTTATTTTTTTTCCTAAAAAAAAAAAAACTAAAAAAAAAAAAAAAATGCCATCTACCGTAACAATAATATGTTATGTTACTGATCGACAGGAAACTGTCACAAACAAAGCTCTTACCGTAATTAAAGCTGCTGGGTTGGTGCGTCTTAAAAACAATACTTCTCCCTTAAATGTTCTTTTAGTCGGATTTTACTCTCGGGATGATGATCCTCAAAATTCAACCCTGCCGTCTTTTTCAATTGAAG